ATAAATCCCATTTATCCATTTTAATTAAGTATTCGTTCAATTCAAAAAAGAATACATAATTTTCATTTAATACCTTGTAGAATTGCCATTATTCATTTCTACATGAACCAACCTCTTCTTGTAGTTCCCAATTATGGATTTGCAAATTTTAGTTGGTATTTTGTTCCATTCTTCATCGCATATGGTCTTCAGATCCGGGATGTTTGTTGGAGCTTTCGATTGTATTTGAATTTTCAAATAACACCACAGATTCTCGATTGGATTTAAATTAGGGGGATGATTTGGCCATTTCATAATATTTACACCATTTTCAGAAAGCCATTTCTTCGTAGATTTTGCACTGTACGTAGGATCATTATCTTGGAGGAAGTTCAAGATTTTCAACCAGAATCATTAAATTTGCTTCCGAAATATTTTGATATGCTGCGGCATCCATTCTACCATCTTTATGCTGCCAGTACCTTTTGCAGAAAAACGTCCCCATGATGCTGTCACCACTAAATTTCTCTGTTGAAACTATGTTCTCTTTCCTCCATACATGATTTCTTACTCAATTTTGGTTTCTTCTGTCCATAATACTCTTTACCAATACGATTTTTCTTTATCCTTATGTTCAGGAACGAATTTCAACCTGGCATCTCTGTGTCTTTTCAATAGTAGTGGAGTTTTCCGAGGGCAGCGTGATTTTAGGTTGTTCCTATGAATTTCATTGCTTGTGGTCCGTTTAGTGCTACAGATTCCTGATGAAAGCAAACCATCCTGCAACTCTTGACGAGTAACCATTGGATTTTGTTTAATTTGACGCAATAATTTCCTCGAAGATCTTGAAGAAATCTTCTGTGGAGCGCCTGTTCTTCTTTGGTTTTCAACAGTTTTGAGTTTCATACCTTGTAATGAATACACTAAGTGTAGTAAATCGAATATTCACGTTGTCTGAGATTTTCCTGTAACTTTTACCTTCTTTCCAGAGCTTAACAATCAGTTTGTTTTGCGAATTTGTCATTTCTTTACTGTTGCCATGATGATAATCTTCTTGCACGTATATGAATTACAGAATGTTCTGTTTGTATTTTTTAAGTTAAAAATAACTACTAATAACATTATTGGTACATTCTAAAATATTCCACATTAATAATCTAGAGTATTAAAGCAATTTAAAAGTTTTAAAATCTGAAATTTGCATTGTACAAATACTTTTTTCACCCATTAAAATTGATAATTGAGATTTATTTCTATTAAATCATTTCTGTTTTCTATGTATATTTAGTTATTATGCATATGTGTACAATTAATTATATGAAAAGTATGTTTATTCATTAGTTGTAAATACAAAAATTAAAAAATTGTATGTGTACGAATATATATATATATATATATATATATATATATATAGCCACTCGTATTCGAGGAAACCCGTCTACTAGGGCGGCTTGCCAATCCCTGATTCAGGCGTTCGCTCATGCAAATTTGCGTGTCTTCAATACCCTCGCTCGCTCAGGCTTATTTCTGTTTATTCAACACCCACAGTGCCCACCTGTGGTTAATAATGCAACTATGCTGAGCAGACATTAGTTACAGTTTTGGGGAAAGAGCGTGTTATCTAGCGTGATCAACAATCTGAACAAAGCCAGCACACTCAAACTATATATATATATATTGTAATATGTAATAAACAAAAAATAATTCAAGCGCATACATTGGTCTGGCGGCAACCTCGTTAAGTAGAAGACTGGCAACCCAAATGACTGATCTTATTTCGATAAGGGAACACTTTAACATTAACTAACCAACCCAAAAGAATTTTTTGTGTATAACATTGTCATTTTAAAAAACATTCAATTTTCAAAATCGTTTAAAGACAGTGTAAGTACTTAAAATATAATAACAGTTTAAGCCAACCCTCAGTACCACTTGCTTTGAAAGAAGCCGGACCACAGCTTAGAATTACTACCGCTTCCTTGCTACACGGTTTAGAACATAAACACATGCATATATACTAACAATGAACCCCTTGAAAATGGCTCATGAGTTGACCGAGAGCACTTGAGCCATTAATAACGACGTACAGTTTTTATACTTTCTTTGTTCTCATAGACGACGAAAAACTAAGAACAGTAGAAAAACTGAATAAAATATAAAACTTTCTTCTCTTCGCGTTCAAAGAAACATGCATGAAACAACGATTGCTACCCAAATATAGATAGATAGATAGATAGATAGATAGATAGATAGATAGATAGATAGATAGATAGATAGATAGATAGATAGATAGAATAACTTTTTGATTTATTTATTTTCGGGTTTATTTTATTTTATTTATTAATTTAATTGTCATGTTCGCTGATATCTTTTTTTTTACGGCAATTTAGAGAGCAGGCTGTGAAAGTTTAATTTCGATGATTAGTACGGAGTAACTAAATTTAGTCAAAGTGAAAGGAAATCTCGGATTCAGAACCAAAGTTAATCAAGCATTTTAAGTTAAGATTGCAATTACAAAAGAGTGCCAAATAACCCCCCAACCGTTATTATTTCCAAAGAACGAGAAACAAACAATACAAAAAAAACACAGAAAATATGCTCAAGAAATGACTCTAAACACAGCGCATGTTGAAAATATAGTAAATCTGTTGGGTCACCAAAGATGGTCTAACGAATCTCTGAGATGAAGGATTTCTGGTTGAAGAGAAAAATAAAATATACTGCCCAGCGCAGAGACTGAGCTTAAAACCTTCAGACAATCAGCTAGAGAATTTAGCTTTTAATGGAGATATGATCCCTATTGATTGGAATTAGATCACCCAGTAAAACTCCGTAAAAGTCAAGGCTTTTTTCTCTTTCGTCAATTTTTTGACCGTTGGGTAAAATTTTTAAATGTTGTTATTCTTTTCACTACCTATCCCCCCCCACCATAAACATTTTACGTACGGGACGAATTAGTCACTCATTGAGAAAATGTAATATTATGATGTATGGGATTACTTTGTACAGTATATAATAGGAGTACATAGGTTCGCCTTTTAAACAGGTGTAAAGGTTTATCTCTTCTTTCCTGATTTGAATTAGGTTTCCAGTTCCTGAAGTCTTCTCATTCTCGTTCACTCCCATGCGTCTTAGTGGCATTATCGCCTTGCTTGGGGGTGAAATGATTAAACAAGTGAGTTGTTTTAGTCAAAGGTAAAGTATTCGAGCGGGTGGCAAGCTAAGTTAGTGACAAGAAAAATTGTCGACCAGCCCAATACACACATTCTCCTATTTTGCCTTTGTGGGTAGTTTCTCCTTTGAAGTACAATAAATGTATTTTTTCTGTTGCCTAGAGAACCTTTGTCACTCAGCTTTCAGTCCTGGGTATGACGATAAACTACAACCGGCAGCAAGGCCTCTGACAAGGTGATCGGAGGTTTTGAGGAGCATGGAACTATCTGTTGTTCACAGGTCCACAGCTATGGGTAAATAGTGAATCCTCCAAACAAAACACTATGAAAGTATAAAAAATACATTTTTGTAGTTAAAATATCAGCAATACATTTTATATAAAAATATTACCAATACATATTTATAGTAAAATAGTAAAAAAAGTTCATTTTTAAAAGGAAAATTACCAGCAATACATTTTATCTGTAGTTGAGACCATGCACTTGCGTTCAGAATATTTAGTTTCTGGCATTAAATAATCCATAGAGGTTGATATGCCGCCAAACAAAATCAAACAACCTGCATGAAAAAAAAAACTCTTTTATGGCATTAATCCATATAATATTCTGCAATTTCTTAAAGAAATGAAACATTATTCCAAAATATAAATCCAACAAACATACAACATAAAACACACATATGACCGCCTCTAGCAAGCATATCCACACAAATATCTCTATGCACAAAACACTATGAAAATATATAAACAGATATTTTATAGTAAAAATACCAGTAATACATTTTTATATAAAAATTACCAACAAGGCATATTTATAGTAAAATTGCCAACAAAATATTTTTAAAGCTAAATGACTAGCAATACATTTTATCTGTAGTTGAAGGCATACAGTTGCGTTCAAAATATATTTAGTTGAAGCCATACAATTGCTTTCAAAATATTTAGATTTTGGCATTAAATAACCCCTAGAGGTGTTGATATGCCGCTAAACAAATTCAATCAACCAAACAATCAGCCTTAATTACACTAAGGATTTTTGCCAGTTGGTCGATTGATGAGTAAGTCAAACGGGGAATAGAAGAGAAGAAAAAAGAATAGAATGTGGAAACAAGCTGAGATTATTAGAACGAAGACTTAATTTCAACTGCAGGATTTTAATAAAAAAATCAGTGATAGAACTTTGAAAATTTGTTTTGTTTAATAGGTCTATGTCCGTATTAATCTTGAGTACTATTGTTATGAGGCTTTAACTTCTGTGTCGTCAATTTTCTTTTGCAGTTGGTAGAGAAGTGGTAAGTTTTGTCTCTGAGTTGTTCTCTTTATATATTTATTGTGAAACTGCAACATGGTGTTTCTTTTACGTTTAGTATAAAACTCGTAGATTGAGATTTTTTTTTCTCCTGTATCTTTTTAAGAAACTAATTGAAAGCGCATTGGTATCAAGTTCTTTGTTTTAGAACCATTATGGGACATGTGAGAACGTACAAATAGGTAGCCAACTAGCAAGAGAAACGAAGCTTCTTTTAAAATTTTCCCCATTTTTTTTTTTTTTTTTTTGCTTTTTTGTTCCTTAGTTGATGAAGAGAGAAGTTTCGAGAAAGATGTTCGATTGTGTCGCTTCTATTGTTGGGCGTTGAATGGGAACAGTTCGATATTGCAATCACGTGGGAGGTTCAATGCCAAATGACAGACGCTAACTGGCTGCCTCTTCAAAGAGTTACCTCTCGCTAGAGTTAAGGTAATTACTGTGTGCGCTCATTCAGCGCAGAAAGGATGTTTCTGTCTGCGCATGCGCGCGCACAAGAGAGATCGTAAGTGAGAGATTGTGCAGGTGTGTGGCAGCGTGTATATGTGTAAAGAAACTTGTTTAATTATTCTTTCTACTTGCCCTCTCTCTCTCTCCCCCTCTCTCTCCCCCTCTCTCTCCCCCTCTATCCCTCCCCCCTCTCTCTCTCTCTCTCCCTCTCTGAGTGTATCAATAACTGTGTAATTAGAAAATAAATTCACACAGTAATCGTGGAGTGCGCCCGTGTGTGAATATAGTCTGTACGTGTTAGTAATTATTCCCAATTAGACAATGCGTGTTAAAATGTATCGATGTCCCGTAAGTTTATACGTGATCACAGTATGTGTGTGTTCAGACCGCCGGGAATATATTGTGCGTATAAGAATAGAGAGAAATAATAAGATGAGATGGAGTAATTCGGATCAGGTCTGTATGTGCATTTTTATGCATCTACACATACATGGATGTAATTACCAGGTGCTCACACAGGCCATTCAATTGTGTCTGCGCGTGCGCATGTATCTGTGTCTTCTGGACGCTTTTGCAACTCTATGTGCGCATGTGAGTTTTTGTACATATATATGATTGCTACAAGAGCTCTCAGCGCCATCTTTTACACGCTGTTAGGGAAATCTTAGAAGTGTCTTTAAAGTTTACACATCTCTTTATTGCCTGTGCAGTCAATTAATCTTCGTATTCAGAAGCCGTTAAAATAGATTTCAGATGATCGGAGAGTAGACGTCTATTTTTGTTTTTTATTATTTAATCAATTTACCCCAAGCAAGGTGATAATGCCGCCAAGACGCAAGTGGGTTACTGAGAGTGAAAGAGAATAATAAGTCTTTAGAAGCCGTAAAAATAGATTTCATATGATCTTACGGAGGGTAAACTATTATTTTTTTTAAATTTTTTAATCAATTAACCCCAAGCAAGGCGGTAATGCCACTAAGACGCAAGTGGGCTGCTGGGAGTGAAAGAGAATAAAAAGACTTCAGAAGGAGCCGAAAACCTTAAACAGGGAACAAATGGAACAAGAAAAGTCTCTACTCCTGTTAAAAAAAAAAAAACAAGAGTGAGAAACGGGAGGGGGGGTAAATATTTATGTTTTGTATTCCTCAAAATAAAAATGTCTGTTTTCAACAAATTTTCACTGGTTACGAAAAATGTATTGATAACTAGAATCCAAAACGAAGTGAATAAAAACCAGATTCAAAAGAATTTCAACATCTTAACCCTAACGATATCTAAAATGGAGAAGTTCTACTCTTATGTGTCGTGAGATTCAAAAGAGATTCTTTATTTTAAATTTCAAGAACATAGACAACTAACTCCACGACACTACAACAACAAAACAGTTGGCTGGTTTGAATGATGCATTTGAACAGTGACGACATTCTTCAACAGAAAGAAATCGACCAGAGATTTTACTGCCTGGTAGCGCGCGTCCTTATGTTTCAAATGTGACACAGCAAGCGATAATGGAACTTAAAGGAAAGATTCTTTCCAAGTGCAGTGTATTTTACAGACCACCACTTCTTGCAACACAAAATGTCTGGCAAGAGATTCTAACAAATTCAATAATTCTGAATTTAAATTAAAAAGTAGCTTAAAATGGTCGCTGAAAAAAGTGCGCTGATGTCTGATAAATGATTTTATGTTGACAAATAATTTTGTCAAAAATATCCTGGAAAATTTTGCATCCACCTGTATATGGGTAATGTAATGAATATCTGCAAAGAAAATGGGTTCGTTGAGCCAATTTCAAATTCCAATCTACTCAGTTGTGTTCACTTTCGCACTAATAACCTTGGCAAAGGAAAAACTTTGAATTCCAAAACGTGGGGAAGATTATTGAAAACCACTCAGAGCTCTTTCCCAAAAAGAGTCATGGCAATTCACAGATAATAAATAAAAGAAATCTGTGGAGAGCCATGCACGCTTGCACCCTGAAAGAACATGGTTTTAAAAGAATAATGTTAAAGGAAGAAAAACCTTGAATTCCAAATCGCGGGGAAGACAATGAAAAACTACTCCGATATCTTTCCCAATAAGTCATGGCAATTCACGGATAATAAATAAAAGGAATCTGTGGAGAGCCATGTTCGCCTGCATCCTAAAGGGACATTGTTTTAGAAGGATACTTTTAAGTATAAAAGATGTCGTTCCGGCCCCCTCCCTTAAAACTGTCCAAATGACCAAACAGCGTTTTTAAAGGGCTTCCTTATCAAACAAGAACTTTTTCAACAGCCCTTATGAAAAGATTTATATAAATTATGTGGTTATATCCGGCGTGCTTTAGACATCTCGGCCACAGAGGGCTTCGACGAACAGGTAAGCTGAATACTGCTTTATAAATGCAAATCTTTCTTAGACTCTCAATACATTCATCTCTACTCAGTTTCATATCGTAATGTAAACAAAGCAATTTCGAAAGAAGTGATTGGTTTTATTTATTAATCCGAAATATTTTATTACTTAAACGTTATTTTTAGTGGATACCCATATTTGAGCAGACGCCTCGTTTATTTATTAAATAGTATATTTGTTTCTTTTCTTCTGCCAGCCTGGATATTCGATAAATCTTATAAAAAAATGTACTCTCCGTTCATATCCTGCCGGTAGGCGTATATAAATCCTCTAAAGTCACGCCGTAAAATGCTTTTCAGAAGCTAAGTAGCGTATTAAGAAACGAATGAAATCGTGCTGGACTGCTATGTAATATCTATCTCACTCTATGTCACAAAAAAAGTCTTAAGCGACCGATATGTGATTCTACCGACGATTATGAAGAATACCTTTGGCAGGTCATGCTACAAACGAGGCAGTCCCAAGGAGAATATAAACGATAAAAAGAACTCTTGATAAGAATCAGAAAAAGAGGGGTGAAATTTTTCGGGGGGGTGGGGACAGAGTGAGGAAAGAAAACTTGGAGAATTTGGGACTCACAGAATCTATCAAAGGTAAGAGAAAAAAAGGAACGCAACTAAGCGGTTAAATTACTTGTCATGTTTGAACAAATGGATGGACGAACAAGAGAAGAAAAAGAGTTTTATAAATAAGAAAGAATTCATTAGAGCAACGAAAGAAAGGGAGGGAGTAATGATTACCCACGCCGTCAGGAACTCCCCCCTAACGCATACACGCACCCACATATATGCCGATTGAAAATTCCTGAAGATTGCATTGTGCATGAAACTCGGAGTTAGGCTACCGATGAGAAAAAAATGTATGATTATTATTAATATACAGGGTGGCAATAAAGTCACTATATAGTTACTTATAATAAAAAAAAGCAAAGCACTGAAGCAGATGGATTGTACTTCGAACAGTATCGGTAATTAATTTACTATTGTTTACCATAGCATTTTATTGTTATTAACCAGAATTAACCAGAACCATTTTAATAATAAATTTCTGGGGTGTTGATTAATTGTTATTGTAAGTACCGTAATTACCCATGTATAAAACGTATTTTTTCCAAAAATTAATAAGCAAAATTAGGGGTGCGTATTATACACAGCTACAAAAATCTTTAAAACACTGCCGTTTCATAGGTCGATTTCAGTTGCGAAATGACTACTCACCACAAATATACGACAATTTGACACTAAAATTCGGCGATTGTGACCCCATAAGAATGTCAAATACATTCATATATACCTAACAGCACAAATGTAAAATAAAATAAAAATTGTACATTAATTACATTATTCGGACTATTGTCCTCATCCTTGTCGCAATATTTATTACAACGTTTCGGCCTTCTTCAGATGGTTGGAATGTCGAACTGAACCATTTATTTCGCTCACTGGGGTAGACTGTTCTAGTTCCACGTGCCATGTTTAATGCATGCCCGTTATCAGTTATCTCCTGTTAATTCCTCTTATTCAGTACAATTTTAGGGATGCGTATTATAGATGAAAGCATATTATGCATGAGGAAATACGGTAACTGTATAGTGACTTTATTGCCACCCTGTATAATTTATAATTCTGTTATTCTACATCGAGCACTATTTTATTGACACCATCACGCAATGCACGATATTATATATATATATATATATATATATATATGCGCACGTCTGTAAGGATTGTGCACATTCTTCTATGTTGGCACACATCCAAGTGTCTGTGTCCAGCATCTGAAAAATTAGTTGTATATATGCTAGACTGTTATTACCTGATACATCTATGCGTCGCTACGAATGTTCCGTGATCATTAGTTTGTTTTTGTTTATTTGTCTATCACTCTGCGTTTGTGCTTTTGAATACGGACGGGCAAGCATGCATTAGCATGTTAATTAGTTCCGAGTGAACATTCATTTACGTCTTCAGGCACATGAATAATTATTTCGCTTATACGTTAGAGATTTCGTTTTCTGACTGTTGAACTCTTGATTGGATTCGAGTCATTTTCTCTTTATCCGTCTATTTCTTCCAACCTCTCTCTCTCTTTCTTTTTCTCTCTGTCTCTCACCCCCCCCCGACACACACTGTTTATCACTCCTCTCTCTTTATATATATATCTTCTTTTTTTTTTTAGATACATACTGATATTTCGTGTATAAGTCGAGTTCGTGTATAAGTCGATATTTCACTTTTGGCAAAAAAAAATCGTTAATTTATGAATTTCTTGTCTAGGTTGACTCCAGTTTTGAAGGCGAAACGGAGAAACAAAGTAAAACAACAAATTATTTTTATTGGATGAAACATTTTCAACCATATTTATTAATTTTTGACTCGTATTTACTTTCATATTTTATTTGTTCTGATCGTTACTTTTTATTCAGGTTGTCACGCGTCAGGATTGATTGATTGGCTGATTGATTATTTTTTGATAAAAACAAATCTATATAAAACTTTCTCCCTCCTCTTTCTCTCTCTCTCTCTTTCCCTCTCTCTCTCTCTCTCTCTCTCTCTCTCTCTCTCTGTTTTTCTCTTTCTTTTTCTTTGTAGTTATTTGGTTATAAGCTTTTCTATGGCTTATTTAGCACATGTAAATTCCTTCAATCTCATTGAGAATTTAACCTTTCCTTTTTCTCTTGTATTGTCAACTCAAAGTCGTAGACTGACAATCCGAATAAAAAGTTGCGAAAAATTCAACTAAAAATTAAGATGAAAATAAACTACGAGTGAAAATTTAATCATTATAGAGCAACAAAAAAAAAAACGTAAAATATTAGCTTACTTTGTCTTTTCTATGATCAAGCAAGTGATTTTACCTAACAACTCTTCCAATATTCAACAGCTGCATGAGATAGTGTTGGTAGGTGTAAACAAAAACAAGTGGGAAAATATCGAACAAAAATTGTTTCTTCTTTCCGATATATGCTAAAGATGCGAGTAAAACGGTCGGCTCCCTGTACTGCTTCAGTAAGTACCTGATTCCTCCTGATATCCCCTGCTTTTATAAGAACCAGATCAGGCCAAGAATGGAGTACTGTTGTCATATTTGGGCCGGAGCTGCACAGACCGCAATCTCCAGCCAAAAGCATCTCCGAGTCCTTGTAAGTGACGAAATATTTTCCACCCTACAACCTCTCTCTATCTCTCTCTCTATCTCTCTCTCTCTGTCTATCTCTGCCCCTCTCCCTCTCCCCCTCTCTCCCCCCCCCCTCCTTCTCTCTCTCCCCTCCCTCTCCCTCTCTCCCCCTCTCCCCCTCCTTCTCTCTCTCCCCTCTCTTCCCCTCTCTCTCTCTCTCCCACCCTCTCTCTCTCCCCTCTCTAGCCCTCTCCCTCTCAACCACTCTCTCTCACTTCTCTCTCTCTCTCTCTCTCTCTCTCACACACACACACACACACACACACACGCACACGTAGGATGCGGCAAGCCTCTCAGTGCTCTATTGCTACTTTCACGGAAAGTGTTCAGGTGAAGTACATTCCTTGATTCCGCCAGGCCTAACCTTCTCGACAAGGACTCGCCATGACACTTAGTAAACTACCCACATCCCCTCCGTGTTCCATTGGTGAAAAGTTAGTTCCACTGGAACAGCTTCTTCCCGCAAACTGCTGCTCTGTGGGACCGACTCCCAAGAGGATACTTCCCCGATCACTACAAACTTAACTTGTTCAAGTCGACGGTTAACTTACCTTCCTTTCCTGTTCGCACAAACTACCTCCTAACTTAACTCTCTACCTCGAGTGTCTCCGGGGCCTTGTACAGGGCGAACCTTACTGTAAAAAATATGGCTATAACAAAACCGTACATGATATAAGCTCATTTAAACGTACATCCACTTTCCCACAGGCGAAAAGTCGCAAGCCTCAAGCTACACTATCGCTGTTTTCATGGAAAGTATTCCGACAAACTATTTTCCTTAGTTCCAACAGCACTAACCTGAGGTCGGCCATAAGACGCACATTGTAGCAAATCAACTCCATTCGCTTCGTATTCCATTGGCCAGATGTAAGTTTGATTTGAGCAGCTCCTTCCCACAATCCACTGCTTTGTAGAACCGGTTCCCAAGAGGATGCTTCCCCGATCACTACAGTTTGTTCAACTCTAGGATGAATAGTTATCTCCCTCATATATCCGCATAAACTGTGCCTCTTACTCTGTAAACCTCTATCTCGAGAGCCTGGTACAGGGGGGAATATTATTGCAAAAAAACAAATACGACTGAAAGAACATTGTACGTTAGCCTATCATAGGTCACCTGGGCCTTTTCTTTAAATACATTCATGGTAATTGTTGTGATGAAATTTATTCTATAGGTTTTTTTAAGCATTTCACCCCAAGAAAGGCGGAAGTGACACTAGCACGCAAGGAGTTACAATGGGAGCAAGATTAAATAGGCGTGATAGAGGAAAGGACGAAGGGAAGGACGGAGAATAGATCAAGGCACCTGGAGATGTCGATTGACATTGCATTTGAATAGTTGGAGATTATAGCTATCAGGGAAGCAAGTAAGAGGAAGGGAGTTCTACTATCAGGAAGTGCGAGACATGAAGCTATTGGAGTAGAAAAATGGTTAAGTTTAACCGTTTCGACAGTAAAAGGGTGGGACCGAGATGTCAACCTAGTAGCACGTTTAAATTCATGCAGTTTGGGAACTAGTGAAATATAGCAGAGCAATTACCGTGAAAGTATTTGTAGAAAAGACAGAGGGAAGCGACGGCATGTCTGTGAGAGAGCGACTGTAAACGAAATGCCAAATCAGAGCCAATCGCATTGCATATCCGTCTCTGGATTTTGTCGAGGACCTTAAAACGAAAAGCGGGGGATCCAGTCTATATATGGCAGCAGTATTTCATGCAAGGGCGAATAGTTTATTTATAGATTTGAAGGATGAACTCGGGCGAGATAAACTTTCTGGCGCGATACAAAGAAACAACTTTCCTTGCGGTAGATGAAGCTATTGATTCAGTGTATAGTTTTTTTTTAGTTTTTTTTTATTCGGCACCCCCACAACCAAATTGTACAAATGGTAACTTGTTATGACTTAATAGAGACTTGAGGTATTATGGCGGCTAAAGTAAGTATAAGTGAGAATATGTTGTTTTGCTGTAAGAAATACTGAGGAGTGTTTGGGTCAGTAATTGTCGCGAGCTAAGTCTAAGATAAGGCAGATTGAAAACCAGCCTTCACCTATCCCCCACATTTTTGGATTAAAACAAAATAAATATTACTTTCCTCTATGGTACCTAGATATTATGAATTTAAGTGAAATACTAGATTGTCGGCAATATCTCATGGCTAGATGTAACCGTAAGTTCTATGCCAATAGTGTCTTCTCTCTTTTCGCATGTGGAACTCTGTTCCGGCATTTTGCTTGCCTGTCAAATTTGATTTTCAAAATGCAATGTCAATCGTTATCTTCTGTCTTCTTAATTCTTATTCTTTTATTCTCCTCTCTTCTTAATAGTGATGTTTTTCTCATATTCTTTAAAATTCGGTGACCCCCTTGATTTTTAGTGCCTTTATTGCTTTGCATGGTGTGAGGTAATTAAAAATATATTAAGATACATCTGCGTTTCAGAAAAGTATATTTAATTTTTGAAAGATTTTTTTAAAAGGAGAATTATTTTGTGTTACAAGAAAAAAGTAATTGTTATGTCAATTTGGATGAATTTATAGATTTTACTTATAAGTAGAAAAAAAAACATTACAATCAGTTTAAATTCGGTTTGAAATACACCAAAAGTAGTTTGCATATAGGCAATATTAAATTTAATCTTTTAACTTGGAATTAAAACTAAAATTAAGGCTTCAAGAAATATTTTTCCTTCTTTCAAATGCATTTTAAACTTATCACTTTTTGGAGGCGAGGCTAACTATATTTTATGATTCCGTCCAGTAATGCTACATAATGGTAAATATTTTTCATGTTTCTAGTTAACCAATGACTCATAAACCTACCTATCATGCAGATTTCAACTTTTTGATCTTAATGATTCGACTCATACTAGAATATATACGGTATGTGTTCTTGTCGGTGTATCGTCCGGTTCACACTCCCCCTCGGTCTTTTAAACAGGGATAGAGATTTATCCCTTGTTTCCTGATTAGGATTAGCTTTCCGGTTACTTCTAAAGTTTGTCCTTTCCTATGCTAACATAATTAGCTCCACACAGTAAATTTCAACCTTGAGTGGCTCTTGGTTTTTGTAGTGGGGGAATATTAGTAAAAACTTAAATAAAAAATGCGTAATATGTTCATAATTGTTATGGGGTCCTCCCCTTTTCATATAAGTGGACTCTACCAGTGTTACTTGGAGTGCTGCCGTTAAATACCCAGAGTTAGACAGTCAGTGAGAGAGGATATACAGAGAGAGAGAGAGAGAGAGAGAATATGCGAACGGAGATAGTGTGAGGTAGCCTCTGATAGAAGTCAGTTACAAGCACGTAGACTCTAAGGAAGTCCTACTTCGAGACTGTATATATCTATCTGTATTTGCTACTAACCGTATTCCTGGATTTACTAACAGCATTACCCTTTGTATGATTGTGTAAATACATTTTATTTCTTATATTTAATTATTGCGTTTGTTCTTCACTGGAGACCGATTTCATTTCGGAATCCACAACAATAATCTAATAACGAAAAAATGTTTCACATAAATATTTATTTTATACGAGAATAAAATTTATTTTTCTTCCTTCTGAATGCAAGGTTAGTCAAGAAAATTGAAAATGATACAATGGAAATTTCAGTTAATAACCATGTGTGAATTTAATTTTTTTAATTTATATATATATATATATATATATATATATATATATATATATATATATATATATATATGATTTATTATAGGATATTACATACGAACATATGTAAAACCGTTCGATTCATATTATCGCATCTCTTCAGGCGGTAGTAAAAAATACTGCTCTACTATGGTATTGAGCACTATGTGTTAAATCAATGCTGTGAACGTTTGAATCTATATTCGATTCGTTCTCATTTCATATATATATATATATATATATATATATATATATATATATATAATGGCCAGCCACCCGACTCCTACGGCAATTAGATAATCACAATTAAACTTTGAACTGTTTTATCTTAGTAATGATTAAAGATATCTTACTGGATAACTCGGAGGTTTTATAAAACTATGAGACTCTAATTTGAACAATAAGAATGTATTTAGCTCTAATTTGAAATGATGATCCCTCTTGCTGTTGTGACCTCCTGATCCAGTTTTCCTCCCCGCTACTTCCTGTTTTTTAAACATATTCCTTGTTCTCTTGATAGTCCTTGAATGGACTTTAAAGATGGAAGCCAGAGTATGAATGGTCGTACCATTACTTAAGGCTGGAATGATCTTTTTACCTTGCACCCTTGCTCAGTTAGGATAATATAGTGGAACTGAGACAAAATGACTTTAACCTGTTCTTTTTCTAGCTGAATAACTCAAAGGGTTTTCAGTGATTCTTACGACAAATGGTGCCAAGATGGTTAAAGGTCTTACCTGAAAACCTGGTTTGTTTTTTGTTTTGTTTGACGGCGTATCAACCACAAAGGGTTATTTAACGCCGAAAATTTTTTTGCTGGTAATATTTTTTCCTTCAAAAATGTATCCTGGTAATAATTTTTACAAAGTATTTGGATTTGGTATTAAAACTATTTTTATACTTTCATAGTGCTTTGATCCCAGTTTGGGGGTTAACTATTTGCCCATAGTTTGAACCCTAACTGGTGCTACCACCCTGGGTCAGGGTGGACCTGGGAACACCAGCAATTAAAAGGTAATTCCACGCTCCTCAAAACCTCCTAATCAGAGATCTTGCTGTTAGACGTAGTTTATCGAATTAACAAGGAATCGGATGTAGTTTATCGTCACAAACAGGAAGGGATTACCTGGAAAAAAGAATCTTGATAGTGAATTTCTGTGTACTGTTTCTACATAGTAGTTATACTGTGTGGCGGGAGTTGTATGCTTTTTGGGGGTCAGATGCTATGTGTGAACGGTTGGCCAGGCAAATAATATTTAATGACCAATGCTTCCCTAATTATGAGTTGTGTGCGGCTATATATATATATATATATATATATATATATATATATATTATATTGGCTCCTGAAAAATTAATTTCAGTTGAGCTCTCTGGGGAAGAGGTGTGGGTTTGGAAACAGTGACTATTATAGCTAATATAGCGAGACTCTTCGCAAAAAAATAAAAAAAAGCGAATTGAGTCACTGTCGGTCACTGTGTGTGTTTCTAAAAATAAACACACTAAAATTCCCCTTCATCCCTGCCGTGCGCCGACGGTTTAGTGGCAGAATTTCCGACGGGTTTCGATCTTAGCTAGAGGCAACCGGATGTCTAGCCACACTGATGAGCTGTGAAACAGCAAAACAGTCTGTCTGTGGATGACGTTATATACACACACACACACACACACACATATATATATATATATATATATATATATATATATATATATATATCATGTTTGATTATCGACGCATTTTGTGGCCGAGAGATCTAAATTACGTCGGATCTAACGAAGGTTTGTCCTGGCGAGGGGCATGCAGATTTGAATCCTACCGGAGAAAGCATACTTTTCTTTAATAAGATTTCTCAAATAATCAGGCCGGTAAATATAGGCTGTTTAATACATAAACGGGTCATCGACTGAAATAAGGGCACCCACTAAAAATAACCTTTAAGTAATAAAATATGTCGAATTAATAAACAAAAATACATCACACATTTAGAAATATATATATATATATATATATATATATATATATATATATATATATATATATCAGGTCATCCCATAAGTTCTGTCCAAATTTTGAATAAAGAAAACTAGTGACCAAATATTACATTTAATTACAGATTCAAGCAATTTACTTTCCCTGATTATCTATGACTTCCTTCCATCTATTAACAAGCTTACGAATTCCATTACTGTAAAATTCTTTTGGCTTTGATTCGAAGAACTCTCAAATGTCAGTTTTAACCTCTTCCTGTGTTACAAAAGCTGTTTCTTCCAAATGATTCTGTAAGCTACAAAACAAATTGTAGTCTAAAGGAGCAAGATCGGGAGAATAAGGTGGATGAGGAATTTTCTCCCAACCAACTTCTTCGATCTTTTGTGATGTGATTCTTGCTGTGTGGGGTCGCACATTGTCCTGATGAAACATCACCTCTTTTTGATCCACTAGAGCAGGTCTTTCTTTCCTCAAAGCTCGGTTCAAATGCTCTAATTGCTGACAGTATATTTGATCATTAATTGTTGCATTAGATGGTAAGAATTCAAAATGGATTATTCCTTGGCAATCCCACCAGAAGAACCTTTTGCTGATGAACTTCTCTTCTCGGCTGTGGCTGGGGTCCTTCCCCTTTACCAAGCCACTGTCTACGACGCTTAACATTTCGATAAAAGATCCATTTTTCGTCGCCAGTCACAAGTCTATCCAAAAAAGGTGAAACAATTTGGCGAGAATGGAGAGAAGAGCAGATGTCAACTCGGGAATTGAGGTTGTTTTCAGACAATTCATAAGGCACCCATTTTCCAAGTTTAGGAACTTTTCCAAGTTGTTGAAGATGACGATGAACACTTGCATGGTTTGAACTTAGAACCACTGCCAATTCCTCAACTAATAAAGCAGGATTTTCTTCAAGGGCTGCTTCAAGAAGCTTTTCATCAAACTCTACTGGACGTCCGGTTCGATCTTCATTCATACAATAAAACAAATAGAGAGGTTAATGATTTAAATGGCGAGAATACATGATATTGTTTGCGAAGATGTATTCTCGCCATTTAAATCATTAACCTCTATATTTGTTTTATTTTATGAATGATTCATGAATTTATAAATTATAACTGCACCTATATTGAAATTAATACATACATATATGTGTGTGTGTGTGTGTGTGTGTGTGTGTGTGTGTGTGTGTGTGTGTGTGTGTGTGTGTGTGTGTGTGTGTGTGTGTGAATTAGCATACCATGATGAAAAAGTGCCCCAGACTTAATAAAAATAAACTTTTATCATTAAAATCTTTGTTATTATTACAAGTGAATCCCAAAGGATCTGTAGATTATTAAATTATATTTATTTTTTATCGTTTTTAGAAGTTTCGAAATTTTGACGTCGTTTCCTTTTAGCATAGTAAATTTATTTATTTATTTCCGGGAAAACACATTGATTTGGAAATACTTCCAAAAATCAGATAATTGTCAAATTTTAATGAAACCTTCAGGACTAATTTACGAAGGAATGAAACCATTTTAGAATTTTTTTCTTTTTTAGAAGATATCGTTAAAAATACTTTTTATATCCGTTAACCATCCCCACGACACACACACTCTTATTTAAGAATATAAAATTTTTAGAAATTAATTTTTTTAGCGCTTAATGTTTATATTAGTTATCAGGACACGTCTTTGGAGAATTTAAATCATTAAATCTTTTTGTCAACCAGGAATCGCAGTTACAAAAGAAATTGCATTATTTAAGACATTATTTAGTTGGAAAAGATTTTAATTGCTTTTATAAAAAAGATATATTATGGACAGTATTGTCTTTAGATAACTTTATTTTCGATTTACAATGAATTTTTACAAGAATTGCTTCATTTTTTTTTCATTTTTAATTATAATAATTCATAAAGTTTTAAATCTTTTCAAATTCTGTATTCATTTATAGCGATTAAGTGTTATTATTATTAAGTAAATATTTACTATATCATAAAGGAAAAAGCTTACTACAATTAAGCAACCTCAGGATTTTAAAAAAAGAAATTTGAATTTGTGTGTGTGTGTGTGTGTGTGTGTGTGTGTGTGTGTGTGTGTGTGTGTGTGTGTGTGTGTGTGTGTGTGTGTGTAAACGTGCCGATTATTGTAAATACGGAGGTCCATAAAGATATTATCAAAAAATAAGAGTGGTGACTATAGTAAATTTAAATTTTTTGACAATTTTCTGACATTTCCTCGACAAATGTCTTCGTAGGTACAGACAAAGCATCTTCAATAAAATATTGGATTACTTGGAATATGTTCCTAAATTTTTAAGATTACTAGGTAATTATATAAAATAGGCGCTCACCTTGTGTTCGTCAAGTAATTTTTACAGTTATGTAACTTTTACTTAAATTTGCCATTAAGCTATCAATAATTCTGTCAGCACCTCATAAAACGCGCACCTGCGATATTTTAAACAAAAAGTAATATTTCATTCAGATTAATTAAACTTTAAATCAATTAATACTCCTCAAATAAACTTTCAGAAAAGTATATTTTATTTTTAAACTATTTTTTTTAATAAAGAAAATTATGTTGTGTTGATAGATTTGTCAACATATCCGATTAGCCTAGAGGATGAAAGAGTTGGTTCATGAATTTGGTGACCTAATAATTGTAAGTTCAATCCCTGGGCTGAGTAGTACATAATTAGAGTAACTCAAAACAGAGCTAGCAAAAACATAGCAGTACAGATAAACCTATCATCTACGGACCCCCATCAACGGACTTCGGATGCAACGAACAAAATCTGCAGGCCAAATAAATAAAAAAAATCTGCAGGAAAAAAGAAAAACTTCCAAATCGTCAGCGATATATTTCAAAATTTGCGGAACAAATCGTATTAGTTCTCAAAGTGACCGCTTGGCGGCAGTGACAGGCCTTTCAATTGTAAACAAAGACGGAAAATACAATACATTAGAGAGCGCGTAAGAAAGTAGCTGTGAGAATTTGTCTATATTTCTGAGATGAGGTATTATGTACACTATTTACATTATTCGGACTATTGTCCTCACCTTTGTCACCATATTTATGACAGCGTTTCGACCATTGTACGCTCCGGCCTTCTTCAGGTAGTTAGAATTATTATTATAGGCCTAATGTCTTCAGCAACCATTTTTACCAGTGCTCATATTGCTATTTTGCTGTTATCATTGCTTTTCTCAGGCCCTCCTTATTACTGGTTTCCATATTGTATTCATTTCTGTGCTTGGTCGGCTCAGGAGATTTTTGTGGCCTAGCATATGTGCTGATTCCTTAAGTTTACGAACTTTTCAATGGTGTTCTTTGTCTATAATACCCAGAAATTCATGCACAGATACCCTCAAGGACATATGGCACAGTGGATAAAGGCGTTAGTTAGATCCAGTGACAGAACCCAAATAGTGTGAGTTCAATACCCGGTTAAGGCAGTGGAGAACTTTCAGAGAGGAATTAACAGGAGATAATTGATAAGTGACATCCATTAAACATGGCACGTGAAACTAGAACAGTCTACCCCAGTAAGCGAAATAAGGGGTTCAGTTCGACATTCCAACCACCTGAAGATGCCGGGCTACAACTTCCGAAACGTTTTAATCAATATGGCAACAAAGTTGAGGACAATAGTCCGAATAATGTAAATAGTGTAGCTGTGATAAATCTATAATTTTGGTTATTTTGATTAATATATCTATATCAAGTATATATTTATTTACGTCATATATACATGTTTATAGTATTTAACTACTGGTAGTTATTATAGTGGTTTTATAACTCAAAAATAATCCCTTCCCATCTACTGACAATCGGCTTTAACTGACCTCTCCTTCTCCCCTATTAATCCGTTGATGAGGGGTTTTTCAGTACCAAATTTTAAAAATTACAAAAAGAAAGAACAAGAAATGATATCTCTAGACGTGGACAACGGAACGAAAAAAATAAAACCCCGTCTTTTAAATAAAAAGTCTCATTTCGAAATTCCATGAAGGTTACTCGAATTGATGAAGGCCTAAAGATACAACGACCAAAACATTGGGATGAAAACAACAAAAATGAGGAGATCAGTACAACTGTAAATAAAGATATTTATAATCACACAGGTATGTTTTACTGCGATATATGCGTGTCTGTATGCATATGTGTGTGGATAGATAGATAGATAGATAGATAGATAGATAGATAGATAGATAGCAAGAAAGAAATAAAGAACATAGATAGATATATAGATAGATAGATAGATAGATAGATAGATAGATAGATAGATAATAGAAATAGAAATAAAGAACAAGAAAGAAAGAAAGAACAAAGATAGATATATAGATATGAGCAAAGATAGATATAGATAGATATAGATAGATAGAAGAAAGAAATAAAGAACATAGATAGATATATAGATATGAGTATAGATAGATAGATAGATAGATAGATAGATAGATAGATAGCAAGAAAGAAATAAAGAACATAGATATATAGATATGAGCAAAGATAGATAGATAGATAGATAGATAGATAGATAGATAGATAGATAGCAAGAAAGAAAGAAAGAACAAAGATAGATATATAGATATGAGCAAAGATAGATAGATAGATAGATAGATAGATAGATAGATAGATAGATAGATAGATAGATAGATAGCAAGAAAGAAATAAAGAACAAAGATAGATATATAGATATGAGCATAGATAGATAGATAGATATGAACGAGCTGGGATAGATACATAGATCAACATCAAAAGACGTGCATTTTCCAGTGACTATACACGCTTCTGTTCTTTGAAGAACCGTAGAGTGAAATGTATATAATTGCCTCAAGACAAACCTGCGCTTCATAAAGATTATTGCTTTTTAAAAGAAATCGTAAGCTCCGTCGTCATCGAAAGAAACTATCAGCAATTAAACACACAACTTTCTCTGTCAGTTACCGTCACTGTTTTATTCAATCAAATGGATTTGCTTGGCATTTGCAAAGAATAACTCAACACAATACTTTATAAAAAAAATTGGCCAACCTTTCAACTGATAAAAATATCGTAAATGATATTGAGATTTCCAACCGTTAAAGCCATTATGATATTGAGTTTTTTCTTCTTCTTTTGCATGTAGAAACGAAAAAAAATGGAGAAAAAAATTATTTATTTATTCTCATTTTTTACTGAGATTAACATACACACCCACAAACACACACAATTGAGTACACAGATACATACATACATATATACCTACATACATACATGTATTGTTTTTGTTTCATGACTTCTTCCGTCATATTCACCTGCAGAATTTACACAATGTGTTTTTAGCTTCTATTTTTTGCTCTTATTATCTTTTATATTCATTCTTAAGATCTTCGTCTTTATTATTATTATTATCACTATTATTATTATTATGATTATGATTATGATTAACCATATTATTATATCATATTATTGTCAATAATTTTAGTTTTAACAGTTGTTAATTCAGTGTGCTTATTATTACCATTAGAGTTATTTTTTACATTGTTATCCTTGATTATTGTTTAGAATTCGTTTAGTATTATAAACATATTCTTATTGAATTAATTTTTTTACCTATCTTCATTCCTACTCGTTTTCCCCACCTCCTTATTTTTACAATTGATATTCTTCTCTCGTTAAGTGTTAGCAGTAATCAGAACTCGTGGTGCTCACTGGTGATTAAATGCCAGCAAATGTCCTCTCATACACTTGGACTCTCCGAATTCTAGCTGTTTTATGTAATGCTGTATTTTTCTCCTATTTCTTTTTTTTTTTTTAATAATCCAATCCAAGGCTCAAGAGCCACTCAAGGTAGAATGTTACTGAATAAAGTTGTAAGGGTGCACAAGGAGGGAGTAAGGAATGTATTTCATGAGGATATGTAGAACAGATAATGACGGACTAGACTTGAAATGATTAAGAGTGTAATAATCAAGGAAGCATCCTCTCGGGTGCCTATTTCCCAAAGTAGCGGCTTCTGCGAAGAAGTTATCCGAATGGAACGGCCTTCTTATCAATGGAATATGAAGGGCGATGAAGATGATACGATTCTGTATACGTGGCACGGTAGATCCTAGAGGTAAAGGTCTGAACTGGTGAAACTAAAAAATATAGCACGCCATTTGCCATGGTAATAGCGATAGGTTGGTGAGAGGCGTACAACGTTTTGGCTGTGGGAAAGGGATTGTAGGGTGGAAAATAATTCATCATCCACAAGGCCGCGTATACGCCTTTCAACTCTGTCAAGACTAGAAAGTGAAGATTGAGCAACTCCAGCACAAATATGGCAGCAGTACTCCATTTTTTGTTTGATATAATTCTTGTAAGGGATGGTCTCAATCCTCACCAACTTTTTTTTTCTGTACACTTCGGAAGTGTTCCCAGTGCTCCGCTAACAACTGGTACGACTGTTATCTTCATCTTCCATAATTTGCACAACTTTCTGCCAAAGTCGAGTTACTTATCCAATTTTGTACATTCCTTTAGTTTCGCATTGTGGTCTGCCGAAACAATATAGTTCAATGTCCGGCACGGTCTTTTCTTTTTATTTACGATTGCTAAATGTTGTCTTTTGAGCTGGATTCAGAGATTTGAATTTCAACGTCACAGAGGATTTCATTTATTTCATTCTCTAAGATAGACTCTGATCTGGACATTCATCATTGCTTTATATGTTCAAAGTACCGTCGCATGTACAGTTCTCAATTTGTACAAATTTTTATCACTAGTATTTTATCATCATCATTTATTCAGCTAGCGCATTTTGTGCCGATGTGGCCACCACTCCCCCTGCTGTAATTGTGGTTCATGATTAGATTCAAGACAGAATAGTGCAATGGCTTACCGGTTCCTTTTGCATTCCTGGGATGTTGAGTTTACCCCGTCCCACCTCTCAGAAGTTCATCCGTCCACTGGTAAAGGTGTTGACCTCTGAGATGCAGCTCCTACGCGACTGCCTAGTGGCCACTTGGCACAGGTGGGTCTGGAATCACTTCCGACTACACTACGGTTTAGCCGACAAGTCGGTACAGTTGACTGGGATGTAATAATGCCTATGCGACTTCTTGAAGCCAGTGATTTGGATGTAGGCCGTGGACCAGTATAGTTCCGCATCAAAATTCACCCGAGTAAAGCAGGGTCGACCGCTTCACTGCGAAGGTACTAACACTGACGATGCCCCCATACAGCATAGTAATTAGAAATCAAGTGACAATATGCTTCTTTAATACTTCAGCACTTTCCACAGTATTCCTGATTATTTTCGAAATGCTGTCGCCTTTATTATTATTATTATTATTATTATTATTATTATTATTGTTATTATTATTTCCTTTGATTTCATTCGTTTACACATTTCTTTCCGGGTCCCGCCCAAGGACCTAAGGTTAGAAATAGCATCATGACACTTTCCATTGACAGAAAAAAGAAAAATTAATAGATAAAGCCCTTCTTAAAATGTGTTGCTGCTGCTGTTTTTGTTGAGGAGAAGGAGGAGTGGGAGAGCAGTATACCAATAATGTGACAGTGGGGTACAAATATACCAAACCCAATAAACCCATCATGACAGCCAGTCTGATAAAGGTATACCAGGCACATGTATCACAACCAAACGTGAACAATATCGTGACAGGTTTTTTTTGTTTTGTTTTTTTTTATAAAGGTAGCACATAGCCTTGCAGGTGGGACCAAATTTTCCTCAGGACGAGTCACCCAGCCTTCTTAGACCGTCTCCGATTGATTGATGTTCCCAAATATTTGGATGTGACTACCAAGTCAGGTTGGCTGCCTTATTCTTCAAACTTAAAAAAAAAACACCGTCGATACCCAGCCACTCTCGCTCATGCCCAACTGTAACTCATCTGAATTCAGCAAGAAAAAAATATACATGTTAACACCACACGAGATCACCAGTTCCGTAATTCATTAGAGTCATAGAGTTTTCTCTCTCCTAGACTGGTTGCCACCCAAGGCTACAGAAACCAGCCTGCCCTGCTATTTACCGATAGCTGATTGGGGGATAGAAGAGCTGGATTCATGCCTTTCCCAAGGGTAATAGAATGTATTATTTCCTTTGTTGTATACACATTTCCTTCCGGGTACAAATTAGAGACCTAAGGTCAAAAATAGCTTCATGACATTTTCCACTTCATCATTTTTGCAAAATAAAAAAATAAACTAAGATCACACACATTTTACTATTATTCACACATTTTATTAGATTTTATATCTCCTCCGACACTTAAATGTTTCGGTCGGGTAATGATGGCCAGACCTCAACTCTTACCCTCACATTAGATATACATCGCAATGAATTCGACTGCAATTCGAACTCAGCTCTATTTATTCTTCAATCCGAGCCGCAATCCATTCCTCCAATCGATTTCTACCAGAAGCCTGATATAGCAACAGGTCACATTATTATTATTATTATTATTATTATTATTATTATTATTATTATTTTCTTTGATTTCTGGGGTTTACACATTTCTTTCCGGGTCCCGCCCAAGGACCTAAGGTTAGAAATGGCATCATGACACAAAAAAAAAAAAAAATTACATAGATAAAGCCCTTCGTAAAGTGTGGGCTGTGCTTGTCAGAACAATTTTTTGTATCTCCTTGAGGCATGGACTTCCAGGGATCCCTTCAATTAGTTGACTGCTATCTTTTACAACCAGTCCTAGGGCTCCAACTACAACAGGGATTGTTGATGTTCCCATATGCCACATTTTCGAGATTTCTATTTCAGGGTCCTTGTATGTTATTATTATTATTATTATTATTATTATTATTATTATTATTCGTTCATTCTTTCATTCTTTGAGCATTCATATCAATACTAAGTAATCGTTTACACTGGAGATTAGGGGAAAACAGTCTTCATACTATAATGGCTGTTTTCAATAATTGCAGTCGTTTCGATCGTTCCAATCCTTTCCTCAATTTCCAATTCTTCCAGCCTTTTTCTAAACTTTGCGGAATTATCCATAGTGTTCCGAAAACAACTGACATGATTGCCACCTTCATGTTCTACAGCTTCCTCTACTTGCTGACTTGATCGAGATATTTATTTCTTATCTATCTTTACACTTTGTTCATACCTATTATTATTATTGGATTGGTGCATAATTATCAGACGTTTTTGTAGGCGAGTTATTTTTTAATAAAAATTGCTGTTTTGTTGACATTTTTTTATAAAAATATTATTTTATTTTCAGGTTATAAAAATGCGTGTCGATAATCATACATTTAAACATATTATTGTTTAATTGTTATGTTTCTTTTTTCATAATAAATATTGTTTAAAACGCTTATGCACCAACCCAGGAGATAGATAGATAGATAGATAGATAGATAGATAGATAGATAGATAGATATTTACAGACTGAGATAGATAGATAGATAGATAGATAGATAGATAGATAGATAGATAGATAGATAGATAGATAGATAGATAGATAGATAAATATTGGATTGGTGCACAATTATCAGGCGTTTTTGTAGACGAGTTGCTGTTTTGTTTACTTTTTTAAATAAAAAATTTTATTTTATTTTCAGGTTATAAAAATACATGTCGATAATCATATATTTAAAAAATATTATTGTTGAATTATTATTTCTTTTTTCATAATAAATATTCTTTATAACGCCTGATAAATATGCACCAACCCAATATAATTATTATTATTCTTTCTTTTGATTTCTGTTGTATACACATTTTCTTCGGGGTCCCAACAAGATACCTAAGGTCAGAAATGGCTTCATGACATTTTCCACTCCATCATTTTGTAAAAATTATTATTATTATTATTATTATTATTATTATTATTATTATTATTATTATTATTTTACATGTTCCCAGTGTATATTAATGCATTTACGATACATATTGATTTTTTGTTTAGCGGGATATCAACTCCTTGTGGACCTGTCAATGCCGATATTTACTTTTCGTGAAAGCTTTGAAGTAATTTGATAATTTTTCTATAAATATCTATTGTTGGTGTTTTTTATATATATAAATATATTGCTATTTTTACTATAAAATGTATTTTTATACTTTCATAAATATTACTTTTTGTTTGGGTTTTCGCTATTTGCCCATGACTGGGACCCTAATAGGTGCTACCACCCCGGGTCAGAGAACAATAACAATTAATAAATGATTCCACGCTCTTTAAAACCTCCAATCTCCCGATCAGAAGCCTTGCTGCCAGATGTAATTCACGATACTAGTTGCTCATTTACTATTATAATTATTAACTACTACTTATTCTATTATATTAATTTCATTATTTCGGTAACGTTATTATTTTTATTATTTTATTTTTATTATATTATTTTATTCTAAAAAAAATTACTTATTATTTTCAATTCCATCATCATCATCTTAGTCTTGACAACATCAATAACCTTATTAACGATAATGTTAAAATAATGTTTTTTCATGGCGCGAAAAATGTTACAGCGACCCAGAAAGCGAAGAGAGAACTGGAATAATATTTAAAAACATATCCAAAATTTCCCTGGGGCGCAGCTACAATGCTTGCTTGAGTGAGTGGTTCAAAAACAATTTCAACAAAGGATTCGTGAGAAGACGGAAGTCGAAGGTTGCAGGATCAGCATGGAGTTACTTCCGGCCCGACGGCGACACAAAATCATTGATAAAAAAATAATATATCCTTTTTTTTCTATCCCACCCCCATATTTTCTATTTTTTACATTTCCACTCCGCATGTGTATGTGTGTATATGCATGTGTGTCTGTTTTGCCCGTGATTCTTGGGAAAGCGAGCCTTACATAAACTGGCAGAACCAATGTCAATGTTTCATTTTCCCTTAGCTTACTAGTATTTTATCGTAATAATTAGAAAAGGCATTGAAAACAGAAGCAACTTTTGAATTTACCGGCGTCCAGAATCTATTATATCGAGATAAATGATGAACATTTAATTATTCATAATTTTACTTGGTTGCATTCTTCTTCTTCTTCTTCTTCTTCTTCTTCTTCTTCTTCTTCTTCTTCTTTTCTTCTTCTTCTTCTTTTTCATCTTCTTCTTCTTCTTCTTCTTCTTTGACATTGTCGTCTATTTTTTTATCTGTTAAAATCAACATTTTTAAGAAAAGAAAGATAGAAAGAAAATCGATAAAAACAAAGATTTTTAAAGGACCAGCAAAGCATTCTTCTTCTTCTTCTTCTTCTTCTTCTTCTTCTTCTTCTTCTTCTTCTTCTTTATTTTCTTTTTCTTCTTCGTTGTTTCCGTCATTGTTTCTAATGTCTTCTGCTCTTTCCTCAATGTTCTTAAAAAACGATATAAAAAGAATCGACGTAATAAAGAGAAAAAAAACGATACAACGTCCGAAACAAAAAAGAGAAATGAATGAAATATTAAGAATATGCCCCAAACCACTCTCACTACCCCCACACCTCACCCTCTCTCTCTCTCTCTCTCTCTCTCTCTATCTCTCTCTCCCTCTCTCTCTCCCTCTCTCTCTTAAAACGTATATCAAAACGGTTAAATGAAACGAAAGATAAAAACAAAGAAACGCCCCAAATCGAAATATGGCGAAATCCATGATAAAAGGGCTGCGATTACTGAAAGGTGAAGGTTATAAATGAAAGGTCGGTGTGCGACAAACGATGTTTGCACTCGGTGGCTCTTATTTTATAGCACAATCCTTAGTTTTCTTTTATTTGCCAAAATAAATTATAAAAGAAAAACAAGGAAAACAGTTCGTAAAACGAACATATCCTGTTTTACGTTTCGTAAAATCGAAATTTCTCTTACCCTCCTGAAAACTGTTTATTGAACGCGAAGACGGAATATAATACATTTGATATCAAAGAAAAAACTTGTGCACTGGGCCAGAACTGATTTATATACACACACAGGAAGATAAGTCTCAGAACAGTAAACGGTGACTGGGGTTATAAAAATTTAAAAAAATACCCTGTATTTCTTCTCTCTCTCTTTTTTTATTTTTTATTTTTTTATTTATTTTTTTTTTTTTTGTTCATAAGGGATTATATTTTCATGAATGCGCGCGTGCGTATGTCTTATTTAAATATGGCCCCCGTGGGTATAAGAGAACCTGCATGTTGTCATAACGAATATATATTCGTATATGTGTGTCGATGGGTGAATGTCTTTTGCATTCTATTACACGTGAATAAATATGCATAAAAATTCGACAGAAGCACTCCTAAATATATCTGTGAAGAGATTGAATGATACGTTCGTTATATGTTTGCGCGCATGCGCGATTTAATTTACACCTGCTTACAAATTTCACGGAATTCTAACAGAAAGAACTTCCTGTAACATCCGGCATTCCTTTTGTTAATTACTTTATTGTGATCTATATTGTGGCAATTTTGTTTATAACCGCCATTATTATTATTATTTCTTTTTTTTTTACATTTTTTTCTTTACTTTTTTGCAACCAGTTTCATAATGAATATTTGACCTCTTTTGAATATTTAGTAAGTTCCATGCCAGATGGTCCGAAATAGTAAACTAAAAAAAGAAAAAGAAAAAAAGATTGTGTTGCGCTATTTTCATATTTAAGGATGACTTACCTGCTGACTTGAAAATCAGCATTTGAAATGTTTGTTTCTTTCAACCGGGTTTAAACACCGACCAAGAGGGAAATAAGCAAGTCTCTTGGTCAACAGACGGTCTTAGGCAAAATGTGGCGGGTTGCTTCTTCTTTTATGTATCATGTCCCTTCTGGGTGTAGGTGATCATAGTCCTCCACATCTTCCTGTCCCTTGTAGCTCTTAATAAGCTTTGTCTTTTTTGTTATTACTCCCAAACCCTTTTCCACCATCCATTTACTCAGGTATGTTACATACGGGTTTCCTCTGTCCCTCTTTCCTTCAATCGATCCAGTTATCTTCCTGGATGACACGCTTAATTTCATAAGGAATCAATCGTTCGATCACGCTCGCTCATATATAAACACATAGATAAAAATGATTAAGTACAACGTTTCTTGAATTTTATAAATTTTCGGTAGAACTTTCGTCATTTTTAACCATTGGCTATTTTCACTATGGAAGATCATACGTTTAAATATATTTCGCTTTTGAAACAAAATATTCATTACAATTTATTCTCTGGAAAATAATGCACTTTTTTATTTTCAAATTAATAAATCGGAAATGAATCACACGTAGCAACATGTGTTAATCACAATTGTCATCAGTGATAATATCATACCAAGGCTTTAGTCTTTTAATTATAGAAAATATACGTGCCATGTTTAATGGATGTCAATTATCAGTTATCTCCTGTTAATTTCCCCTCTGAAAGTTCTCCACTGCCTTAACCGGGTATTGAACTCATATTATTTGGGTCCTGTCACTGGATCTAACCAATGCCTTTATCCACTGTCATGACTAGAATAGTCTACCCCAGTGAGCGAATAAAGGGTTCAGTTCGATATTCCAACCACCTGAAGTAGGCCAGAGCGTACAACGACCAAAACGTTGTAATAAATATGGAGACAAAGATGAGGACAATAGTCCGAATAATGTAAATAGTGTACATAAATACCTCATCTCAGAAATATAGACAGATATGGGTTGATATATGGTAAAATTAACCAACCTAACCTTACGCTTTTAGTAGGACGACGGCAGCTACCTAATTACAATTGAAACTGTCATCAACAGAAAACAATTACAAAGCTTTTCTCTTATTCACTCTATTATTGATTTGTATATCTCAAATAAAGCAGTCTTGTTTTACGTTGATGAAATAGTAAGCGACTCTTGGAGACTATTACGACTATTATGAGTTCGATACTCGCTGGATGCGCGCTGGCTTTTAGCCTTGTACTACACTAAACCGGGTGGTAACACTAGTTAGGGTCCCAGCTATGGAAAAACAGTAAACTCCCAAGCAAAAACAAAACACTATGAAAGTATAAAAATACATTACCTATTTGCAGTAAAATTACCAAAAATATCTATTTATAAAAAATATTTAGTTGAAGCCATAAAATTGTGTTCAAAATATTTAAATTTCGGCATTAAATGACCCACAGAGGTGTTGGTATGCCGCTAAACAAAATTAACCAACTAAGCTAATCTTAAATATAAATAATATATACGTTGTCAGATTTTCTTATATGATCAATGACCATTATTAGGTTCTGCTCGACGTAATGTCCTCATCTTGGTGGTTAGCGTCCAACGACTGAAGAGGTGTGATCATAACAATCAAAATGAGGATACTCGTTCAAGCAAACTAATATATACTAATGATATAATCTCAAAAGTGATTATTGTCGTTTTCTGTTTGAATTTATGGGACGGGGAGTCAGTATTACTTGCATTATTTACTCCCCGACTAAATATCAAAATCTTTATCATTATTAACACAACGTTTCAGTTGTTGAGCCCTCCGGCTTTCTACAAGCGTCTGTCGATCCGAGAAAGCCTCAGAAAATTTCTAACTGCACTCATTATTTAATATATGAGAATAGATTGTTTTCATTGCGCTATTAATGTATACGGCTAATTCGCCCTGTTTTATTAGGGACTTCTCATTTATTGCCCGTCTTGAAGAAGGCCGGAGAGTACAATGGCTGAAACATTGTGATAACAACAAAGTAAGAACATTAGACTAAATGTAATCGCGCCTTCCATCCTCTCTCTCCCTCT